CCCCCCCCCCCCCCCGCCCCCCTCCCAGGTTCTGAAAGCACGGCCGCGATGTGTCCCGACGGGATCGACAGCGCACATCCGCATCACCTGCCAAAGACCCATCTGCCTGGAGAAATATGGCGACTGCCGCGCGCTGGGGCGCTTCGTGTTGCGGCAAAAGGGAGCCACTGTGGCGGTGGGACTTGTCTTGGACACGGAAATCAGATAGGGGGGGGGATAGACGGGGGGTTAATAGGGTGGGGACGGGGCAACTCGTTTGTTGCTCTTTGGTTGTTCCCCGGTGGACATTCAGGACCACACGGACGTAATCTAGTGTATGGGCACACCCCTCGCATCTCCATTAAGCTGGGGATGTGGGCGGCGGCGGGGAGCTCGTAAGAACACTGCGGGGATCGACGTTCCTCTCGGAGCGATTTCCCGCTCAACCAAACACGCCAGCCCCTTTGGGGGGTTTCCGCTTGCAGGTTTACTTGTGGGGCATGGCGACCTTAGCGTGCTCTCGGAACCCCGTGTACTGACCGAGTGTATCTAGCTGCTGCTGGCGTGTGTACTTACATCGGATACTGGGGGTTTGTGGGGAAATCGTCGGACGAAGCGGTGCATTTTGCGCGGCGCACGCCTTTCCCTGTCCTTTCCTCTCGCGAGACTTCCCACCCAATTTTGAATTGCTGTGTGGTGGGTCGGGGTACGATGATGTCGTGCCTAGACTAGACTGAACGGCGACAAGTAGACACGCTTGGAATTTGGCCTGTTGATCGTCGAACTGCTCGTGTAATCAAGAACACAAGGAACCACGCTTTAGACTATCGCATCATACCTCTGGATTTGTCTCTTCTATGTATAGGTCAGCACCACTAATAGTTTGCGTGGGTTTAGAAAGGGCCGTACGTACGTGTCCATCCAGGCCGATGAAGTATTAGGTGTGTTCGTGCTATTGGTAAATTGGCATTTCTAGTCTCGGCAAGAACGAAAAGCGTCTAGTTCCGAAGTTAGCTAGATGACGTGTGTAAAGGTTATGGGTGCGTCACGTGTGGACATTTTGTTTCCGGTGTTTCTAAATGAGTGTTCTAAGAAAAAGTTGATGAGAGATATTTTGAGGACTTGTTCGAACTTCCTGTTACCTGCTGCACACTGCCTAATTAATGTCTTCTAACTTGCACGAAGCCGCTAATCGAATGGTCCATCGGTACTTACTCGGAGAGTCGAGGTGGGCTCAGCGATCACAGGCAATCACAACCCAGCAGGGGAAGAAAACCACTTAAAACTAAGACTATAGAAAACACACAAGAGCACCAAAGTCTGAAAAACAAATGCCAGCACACATGCAACGTATCTCTGTCGCACACAACGCAGAGAGAGTACAACAATACAAAAACAAAAAGCACATCGACATCATCACACGCGTGTTGTCCCATAAATTCTGGCGACAGTCACCCCACACCTCTCGGTGTATCTGTTCGACGTTGTCAGCGGTCGCACGCGGGATTTCTTTCTCATGTGGACTGGAAAATATTCTGCACGGACTGCTTCTTGATCCTCTTCGCTGCGGCATCGAGCCCCTCCACCTCCTCGGGCGACAGGCTCCATCCCAGGGCCCCCAAGTTCTCTCGCGCCTGCGGGAGCGTCTTCACCCCTACGATTGGGACGGTGCCCTTGCACACGCACCAGTTCAGCGCCACCTGCGACATGGTCTTGCCGCGGGCGCTCGAGATCTCGCCCATGGTGGAGAGGAGCGGGCCCATCGTCGGCAGCACGCGGCGGAATATGATGCCTCGCGGCCCGGAGGGGATGTTGCCCGCGTTGTATTTCCCTGCGTTGTTGGTTGGCGTTCGTTGTTTCGGCCACGGAACGAGGGAGAAGCGAGCTGGGTAAGCTCGGTTGTGCGTCCCAAGAGGAGGGATCTTGTCAAACCACAGGACTTGGAAACGAGCAGGAGACACGATTCCAGACACCACGGTCTGGTCGCGACCGTTTGACGTCCTTTGACGTCCTTTTCGTAAAAGCCCCGAAGAGAAACAAGCGAAAAAGAAAGGGCTAGTCTACGTGGTGAATGTATGCTTTCCTAACACAGAACCACTTCTCTTCTCTCTCTCGCTCCTTCTCTCCGTCTTACCCGTGAGCAGCCCCAGCCCCAATGGAGAGTAGGCGATGCTTGTGACCCCGAGAGACTTGGCCGACTCCAGGAGCCCGTTGTCGAGGGGATATCTCGAAATCAAGGAGAATTGCACCTGTCGGGATATTTTGGGTGTTACACGCAACGTCGGGACACGGGAAAGGGGAGGCGTACGATAATTTGTCACGCGAATGTCGAGGAACAGAAAAAGTGTTCCGTCCCCTCATGTGGTAACCCCGTCGCGTCGTCCACGTTCGATGGATGGAACATCCCGCGCCGGCGGCGGGACACCGGTACGGTGTTAATATGAAAAAAAAGACAACGAATCCACCCGCGGAGGTGGGCTGATAGCGACCCCCCATGCGCGGGATAAACGCGATGGAGCGTGTGAGCAGCCGATGAGGTCGTACGTGGTTGGCGCGGGTATAGGAGTAGAACCCGAGTGATCGGCGTGTCGATGTGCGCCCTCCGGTGGAAAAGGGGCGCTGGAGCAGTCGGCCCCTACAGCCCGCCTCCATCCACAACAAAACCATATGGCTACCGAGCGCCTCTCTTGTCCCGAGGGCCCCACGGCCATTGAAACACGAAGAAACCATAAAACCTAGAGGTATATACACTTTGTCCATGCCATTGTGACTAGCACGTCCCGGTACCCCTATAACCTGAATCACTACAGCGCGTGATGAAATGAGTCACCAGAATAGAATGAAGGGGGTTGAATCGGGATATCAAGACCCAGTTAGGAATGTGCGCATCATGCGTGTAAGCTAACGATATCCCAGGGCGGTCGCCAGTTGAGGCCTCAAGGAGTAGTAGAGTACTTGGGGGAACCCTGGAAAAGCCCTGGTATGACAGAAAGAAAGGGTGATAACATTGGCTTTAGCGCATGGGAGTGCACGAAGGAAGAGAGGAAGGGATGGCTCACGGGCAGGATGAAAATCACGAGCATTGTTCTTGTACGCGAGTGATAAGCGAAAGCTGTGGGTCTCTGAATGTTCCAACGGTGCTGAAGGTAACCTGGCTTGTATTCATTCATCAAGGGCAACGCGTGCTTGACAGCTGAGACGTGGTACCCTGTTCCACTATTTGAACCACTCCGAAGTTCCAAATATCGAAAAAACTAGTTTCGCTTTAAACGACTTTAAGTTAGGGACAAACACTGCGAAAACATCTCGAACAGAGCAAGGGGCTGTCGAAAGTCCGACGTGGTTGCAGTAGATTGGGGCAGAACGAAAACCTAGTCGCGCGTACCTGATTGCTGGCCAGTGGGGTGTCAAGCCCAGCAAGGAACCTGTGCGCCCGCGCCACCCCCTTCGGCCCATAGTTGCTCAGGCCTACCTCGCCAATGCGGCCATCCGCCTTGAGTTGAGCGAGTCCGGTCCAGTAGGCCTCTTCCTGCCAGCCCAACGGTGGCGCCCAGTGCAACTGCCCCACGCCCAATGACTAGCAAACGGCAACGGCAGCGACAGGGGGAGAATGGTAGCTGCAGCAGCAAGCACGGGTTGCAGCAGAAGAGGCAGTAGCAACAGTAGCGGTAGCGACAGAGGCGAGCAGGACTACTACTACTACTACTACTACTACTACTACTACTACTACTACTACTCTCTTGATGACAGTAAGAGCGGTGCGTGTACGAGTGCAGACCTCTCCTTCGTAGGACGTGACACGAAGAAGCCATTCGTGAGGCTTCGCTGGCCTCGCGACGGTGCCGCCTGCATATCTGCGAAGCGTTCGGAGTGAGGAGCAGCGGCACAAGAGTCGGCACGCCCCCCCCACAAAAAGCCAACACGTTCGAAAAACTACGTAAAACCGCAAGTCCCTCCCAATGGTTTCAGGTGTCTCGAGGGGAATCACGCAATCCAAAACAAACTTAGTGCCCAATCTGGGAAATAATCGTCCCACACCGACAAGAGCGACGGGGTGCGTGGCGTCACCAGTGATCGGGTCATGATACCGACGCAAGCGTCACCCATGAGCCGAGGTCTACAACCGTTCTACCCCCCCGCAAGGCCTCTACCCTCCCCCATGGTTGGCAAGACAGGGGGCGGGTATGCACTCACATCAGCCCCCACACGCTCGAGTGTCTCGTCACACGCCTTGACGATGGATTGGCTTCCAACCCTGTAAGGGTAGGGGGCGAACTTGGTGGCTATTTGAAGGTCTTCGCGGATTTTGTCGCTGCCGGGGTACTCCCTGACAAACTGTTGTTGTCCCATCGCCAAAGGTACGGATTGGGGGGGGGGGGGAGAGGGGAGTGAGGAGAACGTTCAGGAGGGAATTAAGTTGACACGACAGGCTAATTACAGGCACTGTACCAAACACGCGAGCGCACACGGCTGCTTTGTGTTGGTCTCTAGAGGCAGTCTGTTCCATGTTGCGAAGATGTAAAAGTTGAGCGTGGCAAAGCGATGGCGTTCCTCATTGGGGGTTCTTAGAACCATGACGATGAGCTCCGAGGTGCGATCAGGCGGATCTCCGAACCTACTGCTGTGATTCGTTGGCCTCCTCTTTGTTACTGTCCTTTTCGAGCATTGGCAAGCCATCTTTGTCTCTGTGTGCCATCGGGCCAGCCCGAGCTGTCGCAGAGACTTGACCAATACCAGTAGGTTGAATTGGTCCGCGCGGGGCAGTGGCTCGATTTACTAACCTTGCCCAGGAGCCTCTCTGCTTGGCCTACAATCTTGCCGGTCCTGGTTGGGTGAGGAGAGGCGAGAGGCGAGGGAGGGCAGGCGGGCGGGCGTTCGGTCACCAAGCTCGATGGAGCGCGGAGCTTACTGTCACCAAGCTCGTGAGGGGAGAGCTGAAAAGTCGGCAGGCCTTCGGGCACGAATAACCTGTTCGTACCTTTGACTTGGATATAGTAGTGCCAGCCGCCATCACGGGGGGGAGGCATGCGAATGTTCAGCACTATTCCATTTCAATGGTTTGGGTGAAACAGGGAGATAGAGAGAGAGAGAGAGAGAGAGAGATACGGAAAGAAAGAGAGAGAGCGGCGCGAGCCTTGTCTCATTACGAAAGGGTGCCGACCAAGCGTTGGCACCGTCCATGGGAGCATGCTCTTCGAGTCTATCGCTCAAGGCTGTAGAGGATCGGAAGGCGGTATCTCTAGGAGAAGTAAGGTCGTTGTTGTCGCGACTCAATTGAGGGAGGTTGTCGAAGACTTGAGGATACGGTAGCGTCTCGAATCTAACGAGGATGATGCCATAGGACTCTTGAACTACGGCGAGTGGAAAAATAGTGAGGCACCTAGCCCCAAAAAGGACAAAACCGTTGAGCGTCTTGTCAGCAGCTATCCCGAGTGGGTTGTTATTGCTTGTTTGATCTTTCTTTTCCCGGTCCAACATGCAGGAAGTTTCGCGTACCGGCGAACGAAACGCCCAGCACTTGGTAGCAAGCAAACCATGTTATCGCGAATCCAAATCCCGCAAAAAAGCTACACTCCCTGTGGGGCTGGCCCGGGGGGCGGGGGCGGGGGGGGCAGCGGTTGCGGGCGCGCCACTGACATTTTGGATTCGCTATGTTGTCAGAACACCGTAGCCGGCAAACGGGATCCTGGCTACTGGATGCGGTAGTACCGAGCCCTGCAATTGGCCAATTCAAACAACCATGATGGCCAACAGTAAGCATTTGCAAAGAGTATCCGGGGCGTACTAGGCTAGATACTGGGCACGAACAACAGGCGTGTAGCCCGTCTGTTTTCGATTTGCTCACCCGTAGCTGTCTGCCGTATCAAACCAATTAATACCCTCCGTGACGCAAAGGTTGAACGCTTCCTGGAGCTCCGCGTCCATGCCATCTTCGTAGCCCCAAACCACCTTGTTTCCCCACGCCCAAGTCCCGAGGCCTGGTAGATAGAAGCAGACAGGCGCTGTCGTTTAGCACCCACGGTGCCGTATGAATTGAACGAAGTGCTTCTGGCTGCTGTGTAAGTATGTAAGTATATCGCCCGCACGTCAGGCAAATATATTGGGCCCAACAGAGTTGGTCAATGCAATACGCTGCTTGCTTGTAAGGAGGGATTTCGTTTTCAGGTAAACATGCCAGCACAGCTGTCTGCACTCGAGTATGTACGGCTGAAGGTAGATCTTGACCTGTCGCAACTCTACGGCCGGTGCATCGCTGCTCCTTTGCAAGAAGGTGCGCAACCCGCCGAGTGAATAGACTGCTCAAATTTCCTTCGAGGACATCAACCCGCATTGTGCCAACGGGCTCAACGCAAAACATGCTCAACACCGACTCCTCCCTGTACTCCGCACATCAGTGCAAGTAGGGCAGCTTCCGTTAGATAACGGCTGCCTTATCGAAACAGGTGGGCCGTGATACAATACACATCGGTACCCGTGTTCGCTGAGTCACTGGATGATGTTCCCGCACAGGGCTTACCCATGGGAGACACCGACAAGTCCCCTAGCTTGACACGGCTCTTGGGCGTAAGCACTCCGCTACTGCTGGCGCCAGCATTCTTCCGCTGACCGACGTTGCCCAAGCCTCGCCACCATGACATCTTTACATTGCCGGAGCTGCGTCGTACGTTCACCGCCTTTACCGTCGAGCGTGTTGACGACAGGAACGCTTGGCAACAGTGGGTAGCCAATAGCCCCACGAGCGCAATGTGGGGCACACCGTGATGCCGCATGGTTGTTTTTGAGCAGAGTGCTGTCGTCTGTCTGGTGGGTTCCCACGTTCCCACGAAGCAGCGTGCATGTGCGCTCCCGCAGACAGCAGCAGAGCAGCAGCCTATAGACTATATCAGCCTATCAGCGTGTAGGGTGCAGTACCGTATGGTTTGGTTCGAACTTGGAACCAAACCCCGGCGCTGGCTCTAAAGCGGTGGGGGCAGCGGGCAGTGGGAAGGGGGCGCTATGTGCTGAGTGGAGGCGCCTGGAGCCTAGCGCTAAGAGAAAGAGTGGGAGAGCGCAAAGGAGACTAAACGTTGAAGCTTTGCGAGTCGCGATTGTTCGGCTACTGTCACCGCCGCCAGCGGTGCTCTGCAAGCAGCTCCACGTATTGCTGCAAACCTCTGTCATTTCGGGCGACTTGCCTGGCGTCAACATCGATCCCGCGAGACACTGGGTATAACCAGCTCAAACCGCCGGCCCCTTGCCTGAACGAGCAGTTACTGCGAATGCTATCTCAATCTCGGGGGTCAAGTACAGTGGGCACTATTAGTTTACCCGGGCACGACGGTAGGCGGAGACCGCACATGCATCATGTTTTCAGGGTTCTTACAATGGGGTGATGATGGTTCCAAACCATATCTACACCAGCTGCTCTCAATCCCAACCTCAACCTACCAGAACCACACCCCTAACGAGGCTTCCCTCGTATCTATGTACAATCTACAGTAATGGTGCAGGGCACGTGCGCGAACCCAGCGGGTTGCTGTGCAAGACTCGCAAAGACACCATCGATGTGTCGGTGTCGCCTTCCCTCAATGTCGACTTAGGCAGTACTTCAGGTGAGCCGAAAAGAGGGTAAGAGAGACAACATCCCTCAACGGCAATTCCCCTTCCGAAAAAGAGTACCGCTTCTCTATGGGGAGGAGTCTTGATTTCCGTCCGCGCTTAAGCTCGATGCATGAACCTGCACGAGCGGGCGGTGGCGGTGAAAAATATTTGTGCAGGTGGACAAAACGGGGATACATGACGGACGCGGAGGAACAGGGTGAGCAGCGGAATGCACAGAAGGGAGAAGTGGCAGTCGTGTTCAGCAAAAAACTCACAGGGGGGGTGCAGATCGGCTTCAAAATTTGCCCCGAACATGGCAACAACGTCTGCGACAAGAAGTCGTGAAGGAGGTGAAGTAGATGAAGCACACGTTGGGACGTTGGAACCTCTGCGATCTCCGCAACCGCTGTCCGGTTGATCAAAGCCTTTGCCGTCTGAATACCCAAGCATTACTTGTACGCACGCATGCTCACAGCAGGGGCCCAAAAGAAAGGGTACAAGGGCTTTTCCAACAGCCCTTTGGTCAAGTGTTGAGGCAAATCGCAAAGGCCCGCATGAACGACAAAAAAACGACTTCAAGAACGCACACCATCCCTTACCCTCTCAAGGCAGTGCCACCGCCGTGCAAGACATCGTTTGACGACACATGGAGCAGATTTAAGCCCCTTTCAAATAGCAGTTCTTTCTTGACAAACCTAACCTATACCACCGTTATTCTGTCCGCGCTCGCTTTCGAGCGGCATGAAGTGACTGAGTGAGGTTTCGTGAAGGACGTCCGCCCTTCGTATGCCTCGCTGTACCTGTGTGATGAAGGAGACGGCGGCCTCCAAGGTGGCGACGAGGTACCCTGCCTCCGACAAGCTTCCGTCCAAGTCCATCAGGTGGGTGAGCATCGTCTGAGGCAAGAGCAGATCTAACGGCGCCGAGTGTACCTGCCAGTGATTGTCGATGGAAACACATCGAGCGGCAGAACATGCGATGGGCTGGGTGTCACAACAAGATAAAAGCTGGCGCTGTCGACGACCTTGCACCACGAGGCAGAGAGCGCCTACAACCGCGCCTTCGCGCTGCAAACGGAAATAACCAACTTTTCAAAGACAACACGAACGTAAATTCTACCAAAGGAGGGAAGATGCCTGCCGCGCCTGTACTTACCAGCACAAGGGCGAACAAAGGCAAGAAGTCGTCCGCGCCCATGGCCTGGTCGGACGGCTGTGTTGCCGGCGGCGCTACCTCCGGGTGGTCTTCCATGCCCTCTTCAGCGCCTTCCCCTTCGCCATCGCTCTCCCCAGGAGCCGCACCCTCGTTCAAGCCTCCGATACTATCCCAGCTTGAGGTTGAGCTTTTCGCAGCCGTTGGGCTGATGTCATGGGATGTAGACAGGGCACTCCAGCTCCTGCTGCTGTTGAAGTTGGGGCGCAAGGCTTCCCGATCCACCTCTTCGGTAGCGATGTCCTCGTCTTGTACACACTGCGCTTGCCAGCAGAGATCATCCTCGACGAGTTCTTGCACTACGTTTAACCGTTGTTCCTCATCCGCCAACGACAGCGCCGGTGCAGAACTTGGGCCATCCGAATCGCTGGCGACGTCATTCGTCGCCCTACCACCATCGCCGGTGAAACTGTCGCTGACCGCACGCGTTTGTCGATCTGGCCTCCCGCCCAGGCGGAGGCCGTTGCTATCTCTCTCTCGGATTCCGAATTCGCCCTCCTCGGGACACAAAGTCCCATGCGTAGGGGCGGTCGCACCCTCGGCACGAACGCTGCCCTCTTCCCCGTCTTCCTCCCCAGCCTCTCCCTTCCCATCCTCCCGACTGTACAGTTTCAAGCTTGCCCTTCTGGAGTCGACGCTCAAGGCACCGCTGCTGCCAGAACGTCCGTTGCAAGAGCTATCCGTGGCGTCGGTGCTGGCATCACCATTGTCGCAACAAGCGTTCAGCTGGAGGGACGCGTGGAGCGCTGTTAGGTGCTCGGCCGCCCGGCGAAGACCATCGATCTGGAGTCAAGGTGAAATACGAGGAGAGATCGGCAAGATCGTGTTGTTTAACGTGCTTCGTTCCACATCTCCTGCATGAAAGCGCAGACATGTCTTGAAGCACTCGCTGCGGTGTCGCGACGACTACCCCTCGCAACACGCTGTACGCTTCTGTATTTGAAGCGAGAGGGACGATGACCCCTTCTCCCTTCGCCGTGCTCCCTCCTCGATTTGCGCCGAACGGTCGCTGCAGTCACAACACGAGGCTCATGGCGCCATACCCCACACGGCGACCGCTCGTTTGAAGGCACGGGAAACAACCAAGTACCATAGCTCTTTTCCAAATTGTACCTGATCCGTAGGAAGCACATTCCTCGTTGCTTGCCCCATGACTTCCTTCACAGGACCCCACTCCTTCGACGCGAGAACGCCCAGGGTTTCCAAACCGAACACTGCCGGCGGGGAGCGGCGCAATGCCTGGATGGCTCGCTCGAGCTTTCTGCGGATTGTGCGCAGAAGCGTAGGGAGACCGGGGGGCGGGCGACTGTTCCGTATGACAACAGGACACGTACCTAAAGATTTTGTCAGCTGTAAATTACACCCGCATGGCTCGCCTGTGTTCCGAACAGGACATAATGGGGGGCAGAGGATACGCACCTGTGCAGTAAGTTCTCCATTCCCGTAGTCTCCTTGATGAAAAAGCCCGTCGACCGAAGATCTACACTCGTCTACCTTCAAAGCATCTGCACCTTTGACGCATCGGTACGTGTTCGATTCCGCTCTCTGCGACTCACCTCGCCGGGTCCCGAATTCGCCACGTTAGCTCCTTCCAGAGACAGCGCCGCAGCGGAAGATAAAGAGAAAGCTCCACCTACAGCAGTAGTCGGTTTCGCGTACATCGACGAGGTTATAGACCGATCACATTTCAAGCCGCCCTCATCAAGTGCAAGGGGACCTGTGGCTAGTGTCCCTGCGTTCATAGGTCTATGAACATCTCCAAGGCAAGGGGACACGGGAAAAAATGTGGCAAGCAAGCTCTACTCCCGGAGTACAAAACCAGCAGGTTGAACAGAGAGCGCAGCGACGGTTGCAATCACCTGTCTCCGCACGGCCTTCCGCACGATGGCTTCCCTTGTTTCGCTCGTAGTGTACGCGCACGAAGACAGCTGCTCCTCGTGGTGATCTAGCACGAAATCCTGATTTAGATGGCGTAACGAACAGCACCGAAGACGGAGATCCGAACAGTCGCAAACTAGAACTAGGCGATCGACGTCATCAATTCTTTCGGAGAGTACTTTCAGTGCGTTTGTGGTCGACCTGGTAACACCCGGCTTGGGGGGCCAATTCCAAGCGTCGAATTGGGACCGGGGAACGAGGGCCGGGCTTGACGAAGACTATTGGGTGGCAGCCAGCCTCTCTGCACACATAAGGCGCTTCCTTATGTGCTCCCGCACGTGATCGGCGACGTCCTCAACAAACCTGCAGACGTCGAAGACGCGAAGACGCGCACTTCATGAGCGAATCCACATCCGGGGCGAGAGAGGTATCGCTCTCGAAGTCTCGCATCAGCAAGTGCTGTCATCCGGCAGTCGGCGCAATAATTCGACACAACGCACAAAAAAACGGGGAGGCAGCAGGCCAAAAGGCAGAACGGCGGTTGTCATGCAAGGCGACGTGTCCTCGGTAGGGCAAGTTGGGCGAAGCAGCATGTGGATTCCGTCTGGGCGACGGCATTTTTGCGAGGATAGGGCTCCCTACCACTTCCTGTACATGCGGAGAGAAACCACTTACGCTTGCCATGTGTTGCTGTGGGGAGTATGCGGCTTTCGTGTGTGAAGGCAGGCACCAGCACGGAAGCAAAAACGTTGACATAGCGGTGCAAGCAACGCAAAATTTGCCGCAAAAATCCTCCAAGCACGTGCTTGGCCGGTCCTGCGCACCACCCCTACCTGCACTATCTCCCATGGAAAAAATCAACCTGAAAAGCGGCACATGATGACTCTCACCTTCATCCTAGCGGCCGGAGAGTCGGCTTGGTTGAGCAGCCTGTACAGCAGCAGCTCCGCGCGCTTTTGGTCGCGCAGAGCTGGAGAAAGCGCGAGGTCGGCGTTGAAAAGATCTTCCGGCCTCCCAAGGAAGTCCTGGACGATATGCAGGGCACCGGAGCACCTGCGAGAGACAGGCACCGAGAAGAAGCAGACATGACTCCGACGTGCGTATAGGAAGCACGCGAGCAACTCCAGTCCTTTTGGTTGCTGCGGGTTCCAAACGACACGACCCAACGCGTTGCAACATAGCATGCGAACGATTTTCATTTTTTGCGCGGCCGAATTCAGTCCTTTCTGGGTCGTCCTCGTGCCGTGCGACAGCATACACAAACCAACAATGGTGTTGAGAACTTGATCGCACAGCGGTCAGGCTAACAGAAGCGGGAGAAAGAACGTCCGCCTTCCAAATCGACGCGTTCGGTGGCTTCGCACACGCTACAAGGCCAGGCAAGCCAAAGACACGAAAACCCTGCTACACAGGCGCCGTCGACGCAAAAGCTACGGCGGGTCCACGTAGCCACTCACCTCGGATCAATCGAAACGTACATCCCGAGCAAGGAGAGCGCCCCGTCCAAGAACGCCTCCAGCCTAACCACCCGCTCCTCGACCACCGTTTCCTCCGTTTCTGCCGTCTCCGCCGCCGCCGCCCTCGAAACGGAGGAGCGCTTCGCCGGGAACGGCAGGTCGGCTATCGGCGGCCACATCGCGAGGAGCTCCTGGCGGAGCGCGCTCAGGTCGCCGTAGTGAGGGAAAACCAGCCACTGGCGCCCGGTCCCGACGTCCTCCACCCTCACCACGAAGCGGACGGTCGCGCGGGTGCTGGCCGGAGTCGCGGCCTCCGGCGGCGCCGCCTTCGCGTCCGATGACGCCACTTCTGACGACGTCGGGCCCCACACCGACGGCACCTCGACTGTTTCTACTATCGTCCTGGTGCGCGCGCGGTTGGTTACGGTCCAGGAAGTGCCAGGGTAAGGTGAGTTTCCAGTTTCTACTTGAGGTTTCCCGTCGCGTGACACAATCCCAGAGCTCGGTACCTTTGCAACTGCTCGCGCTGTCGCTTGCAGGATTGCGCACGTAACGCTGTTGCCCCCCATTCGTTCTGTAGCTGAGCGGTCAACATACAACCCACCGCAGTTCGTGCAGCGCAGCTAACACATGACGCACAGCATCCTGTAGGAAATTTCGAATACAACCATAGCTTTTTCATCTCGAACTCTACAGATTGCTCACCTGGTGTGCAAGCATCGAACATCGATGGCTTTTCTTAAGCCCTTCGCCTCCAAAACAAGTGAATCCAGCAGAGCAGAAGCCGCGGATTCCAGCGACGAATCGACTGGAGGCGTGGTCGCCAAAAGAGGGGCCAGCGCTCGGGACGTTCCCTCCTCCCACGCCATGCGCTGCAGAACCAACCCCGCGATGCTGTGGCGTTCCGCACTGCTGACAAGGCTTGGGTGTTCCAAAGACCGGCGAAGAAGGAGAGCAAGAAAGCGAGAGCACGGATAGAAGAAAGGAAAGCAATTCATTGCGTGGAATGGCTGACTGCGTGTCCGCTTGTTATAAGCTCTAAGATACTCTCGGGCAAGTAAGTGTGCATGGAATGGGCGAGGAAGGACCGCCTTCGTGCGCGATTAACAAGCTACTTTACGGGGAAATAGAATAGGGAGGGGGCACGCAGACCCTATTCCCTACCCTAACCCAACTTTCCCGATTGCATGCTGTATCCAACATGATTACATAACAGAAAAAACCTGAGAAGGCTACTGGCGAGGAAACCATAACCATCCGTCGTCGCATCCTCTCTCTGTCTCTGTCTCTGTCTCTGTCTTCATTGTATCTACATCTCTACCTCACCCGGCTTTCCTGAGCTGCGCGGTTCGCCACATGAGCTCCGAGACGAGAGCGCAGTCTTTCCGGGGGAGAGACTGCCGCCAGCTCTTAGAGCGAACACATCGTGAAATCTTTCCGGTGAAGACAGACCCCCACCCGACGACGCAAGAAGAAGAGGCAAAAGGGGGTGTGGCACGCCGCTAGCGGAGGTAAGCAGAGTGCGAAGAAAATGATGCTTGCACCCGACAATACGAGCAGAACCTCGTTCGTTCGACACCACGGGACAATCGTTTCAAAGTCCAAAACAGCACGAACAGCACACGTCGTCTAAGGGTTCGCGGCGCTTGAACATTCACTTTCTCAGGGTCGGAAAGACCGAACATGCTCTTGGACACCAATATCCTAGCGTCGTCAGGGCTCTCTCAAACCCTCCGCATTGTGTTGTGCACTTGACACATGATGCGGACACCCCGCGAAATGTCGGCATCAGAATCAACTAGAAGGCTACATATAGGTCGCAGCTCCTTGCTATCTGTTTACCTGGAGTTTTACAAAACCCGCCAGGGCGATGGCTTCCGCCAGACGAGTTGACGTATGGACCAAACCCTTCTCCAGCGGTTCGTAGTTGATGCCAAGGATAACGTCTCCGACAAGGATGCCGGCCAGCTCGGCTGGTCCGGAGGATCCTCCGGGCAGCTTGCGAACATCCTGGCACGTTTGATGGTTGGAATAGTCACAAAAGGAGAAATTCCACTACGGTAGAAGAGGGACGAAAACAACCTCCAAAACCACGTCATGGGCGGCAGTTGACCACGTCAAAACCCCCGTCTGCCGAAGAACTTTGAGAATGGTTGCTGTTTCGCACGACCCGCTGCGTGAAAGTACTCTCTGTGATCCCCCGTCTTCCTTTCAAGCAAAACGCTCAACATTGAAACTCTCAAAAGTACACTAATGTAGGAGTGTCTTCTGGCGATCCCCGCAAAATCTTCAACAACAATAAGGAGGGCAGCCTTCGCGTTCACACCTCGACGAAGACGGCGCCGCCCCCGAGCTCCTTAACCGTCACTCCCAGCGTCATGGAGCCCCCCGTGTGCACGTCCACTGTAAAAGTCACCAGCTTTTCTTCCTTCTTCTTGCTCTTGACCACGCCGCTACTCTTGCTGCTGCCATCCCCGTCAATGCTGTGCCGCCCTCCCCGGCCACCCGCCCCGTCACCGCTGCCGAAGAGGCTGACGGCAATGTCGAGCAGGTTTGCCATGCTTACCCCCTCCGTCGGTTGCGGCGTCTGAGAGCAGGTATTTACGTTGGTGGCGAGGAACGTTGCTAGAGAAAAAGTGGCATCGAGCGTCCCTTCAGAAAAACACGTCGACACTCGATGATAGAGGGGTACAGGTATGGTATGCGATGGAGCCGAGGAACGTGTGGAAAAAGTGGCATCGAGCGTCCCTTCAGCCAAACACTTCGACACTTGACGAGAGTGGGGTATCTTTTGTGTGGTGCTTCGAACCGACCTGGAGAGCCGATCTTACCGCCCTACCAACACAAGTACCCCCCCCCCCAACCCAAAAAGAACCACAACCATAAACAAAGATGTCGGTCGCACACAATCATGTCGTCCTCACGACATTGGATGGAAGGATGGGTGTCATATGATAACACCCTGGAAGGTCGGGCATGACCTACCATGCTGCTGCCCAAACCTCCTCAAGAATGTATCGTCATGCGCATGGGGCTCTTCAACGACACACTCCTTGCCACGATTGCTGTGTGCTAATGCACGCAAACCCTACACCCCGCCCACTACTGCTGTACCTGCTCCGGACTGCCCCTTGACGCCCCGCCAGCAGCTCCGACATAGTAGGGCCGGTCTCCTCTTCGCACAGCCGCCATCGCCAACGTCGCCGCTATGCTCGCCGCGGAGCCCGCCCGCTGCCGTCTAGAGGATGCCGCCGCCTGTGCGGAAGGGGAATCGGTTCGGAGAGAAACCGACCGCTTTCGCAGCCGCTCTTCCGCGCTCTTTGGCTGCTCGCCTCGGCGGGTTGGTGTCCCTGGCGCTCGGATCTTTTGGAGGTCTCGCGGAGAAGGAGGGGAACGCAAGGAGGCTCGTAGCTCTTCGGCCGCTCGGACGTGCCCGACCTGCCACATGTTGGTGTTACAGAAAACAGCAGCGTCGACACGTCGGCATTTCTGTGGGAAAAGGCCGGGTTTGCTCACAATCAGCAGACCCAGATCTACTGTATACGTTAAAACACACAGAGAAAGCTAAGTTGCTGCTGACTGCATGTGAACGGGGTGACGCATGTAAGTACACCTTATGATAGTCTCACCACGACGCTGTTGACCCCGACCAGTGCCTGGAAGCCAGAGTTGCCACCCGCCGCTGCTGCTTTCGTCCATTGTTCCTCTCCCCTATCTCCTGCTGCCAAGTCTTGCGAGGAAGCCGGCTGACAAGGAAAACGAGGGGCAGGTGAAGGGGAGGGAGGTTCATGGATCACGCATGATGTGAACCACAGCAAAGACTACCCATACCAAGTTGAGCACCGGGAAAAATATGGTCCGGTGTTCATGGCGATGTGCCCAACATGCACGCAACAAAACCACACGGTCTGGTGGTACGTGTTAAACAACGGCCTACCTGCTCGGTGCACATGAGCCAGGCAATTTGGCCTAAGGTGGTCAGAATGTCAACAACGGAGTCTGAATTTTCAATTCCCATTTCTTTTTGCCAATGATACCGCAGGTTGCACAAGATACCACAGCCCCTGGACCGATTTTCAAAGCTTGATTGCTCCGCTACGAAGAGGACGCAAATATGAAACGATACGTCTTCGGAAAGCGCTGTTTCTTGCCGTCGAATATGTGCGCCACTAGTTGGTGTGGAAGAGCGAGATCATCTATTTATGTACTACATGTAGCCGATTGACTACTGCTGGAGCATTGGAGAGGTGAATTGAGTCACCAAACCTTGGGATACAAAGCCCAGAACCCGCACAGACGGCCGCACTTCCTGGGATGATTTTGAAAACCTGACTATCCTGCAGCACGGAAAATGGCTGTGTTGGAATCTTCTCTTAGGGAGAACTATTTTTTGTTCTTACAAAAACGCAACAAGTATTCATCTCTTGCACAGACAGGAGCAGTCCGGGATAGATTAGCATTCTTAGTGCTGTATGTCGATCAACTTGTATTTTTATGCATACGGTTCCCCGAGCAGCACCCAGCTTTGCATTCCTCGACGCACAAAGGGAAGGCTGGAAGAGAGGTTCCGCACTATTGTAAGCTATGTACACTATTGTAAGCTATGTATTCCTCACAGATCCGTTATCTCGGAAAGTTGATGTTTCGGCAGGTTCCCCCGCCTTTCGGTGTTGCGAGTAAATCTGACGCTGGTGTGTGGCCCATGTACTCACCCCTGCGGGAGCCTTCCTTGCCCGTGGCGAAGTAGACAAATCAACCAGGCCGTGCCTAACCAACGATGTTCTCAGCACCGGGACATCGTGGGGGAACAGCTCGGTTGCCGCGGCGGTCATCGCCCGTACCCCTCAGCAAGCAGTTACTGCTCTCCTCGTAATCGCAGGCGACTTGTTTGGAGTGAGACCGTGGAGGAAACTCCCCATCTAGAGAACGGGCGGGCTAGCTGTTGAGGAGGCGCAGCGCAAGGTGAAGAGAAAATTAGTGTCAACAAAGAGCTTCCCGCGAGAGAAAGGCCGCAGAGGCTGTCTCTCTATGTCTGTATTGTACAGATAATTTCTAGGTCTGCTGAGCACCGCCTTTCGGCGACCTTTTTTGCCGCTTCTCATGTATGTATAAAGCAAATCGTTTCTCTTCTACCTACCTGAGCTGCAATGGCTCCCCATAAACAGACAGTTATCGTTCCCACGTCAGCACGCGTGGAACCTATGAGTTGTCACCTTATTCCGAGCCGGGGACTCAAACGAACGGGCAGGTACAGCGGACGCAAGTGGCGGTGATGCATGATCTCTGGCGGAGGGGTTTTTAACCCCCCTCCCCCCCCCCCCCCGCTGCGCTAAGGGGGGCTTTGCGTTGGTTGGCACAGCAGTTGCAGTGTCGCAGTCCCAGCGCAGAACAGAGTAGTAGCAGCAGCAGGAGGAGCAGCAGCAGGAGAGTGCGTGCGTGAAAGAGAGCTAACGTGTTGAAGGAGAGGTGATGAGAGGTTAACACGCCTGTGTGTGCTAAGAGCACGGCCACGCCAGCATGGTGTGGAACATATTTCAACCTCTGGGCGAAAAGAGGAACAGGACATCCGGGGGGCAGGTACGCTGCGGCCGACTTGCTAACCTACACCATTACCTCTCACTGCCCCAAATGGTGACATCTGATAGCTCGCACTTTGCAGTCCAGTTACGACTTGGCGTTCTATCTTTCTCCTTGTCTCGATCTATCATATTCTTGCGATGCTTCATTACCAGTACCACTACTATGCTACGAGGTGGGTCGTGGCTCCTTGCCGTTGGGTACCAGTTACTGCACAGCAATAGTGCGTTCAAACAGCTGTGGTGGTAACGGAGGCACTTCGTACGCCGCATGGCAGGATGCGTGTGGGATCTCGGACACTATGTAGCTACTGTTGGGCGAAGTGTGTGGCCAGAGAAGAAAATGCCGAGCCAGAGTTTGAACCTGAGTGCAAATTTCTTATTTCTAGTTTTATTTTGGATGTACATGACAACCGTATATATAGTTCTGCATCATGTTCTGCCAACCTGTGTACCCTTCTTGTAGTGATAAATTCGTTACAGCGTGGATGACCTGTACACTACCTATTGTCAAAAGTACATTTACGAGGGATCGCGAAAGCGAATGCAACATACAGCAGTGGCACCCGCATGCTCAACAGCCCTTGCTCCGAGAAAACGGAACGAAAATGACATGGCCACCATTGCTCCACAGCAGTTCGTTGTCGTCGAGCGAAAGCAACAGCGACAGGGTGGGTCTTGCCACCAGAGAACTCCAAGTCTACAGTCGATATCGAATTCGATGTATTTTCAATTTCGAGCTGGCTGTACTCGGACGCTAATCGTGATATCGACATAGAAATAGAAAACAATATGGGTGACACGAAGAAGCCCTATATTTAAAACGATGCCGTTGGCAAAAAAAGAATATCACGTTGATGACTCTCTCTTTCTCACTTTACAGCAGATCTCGCTCAACGAAAGTATGGTGTGCTCTGCTGGATGCCAGCTTAATGCCAACGTTTTTGATTTTGCACCTCAAAGCGGTCTGTAGGTGTGGAGATGAGTAGCGAAATGAAGGCATCTCCGACTTTCAGAGAGTCTGGCAAGTAGCTGGCAAGCAAGTTTCCCTTTCGCACTTTCGATTTTCGATTTCGATCTATTCAGTGCATCGTTTTGATTTTTCAACATTGATAAGCTTTCGGAACACAGCAGTCCTCTTATATCGAAAGACTGGCGGCGGTACAAGGGTCAGTTGTCCAATCAGTGGCTTTGTCGATTTTCGATTTTCGATTCAACAATCTGCGGTGACAAGACCCACCCTGTGAATGCGGAAGCGACAGCTACATGTACATGTGTTTTTATCCAGTGATCGCCGTCACACCTCAGAAAAGTCTGATGCGTTACCGGTAATTGCCGCAAATATCAAATTGGTGTTACCGCACCGCTGTTACCGCAAAAAACAGGGGAAGTTTCAGAAGCGCCCCCGGGGGCTCCGCAGAGGATAATTTCGAAGTACCCCCCCAGAGGTCCTGCAGTGCTCGTACCATCATATCATCTGGAAAAATGATAAAACTGTGCTCTTTGGTTGTTGTGTTGTTGTTGCGATATACATTTGGTGATGTATGTACATTTCCTCTCTGCTTCTCTCTCTGGAGAAAACGCATGATGTCTACATAAACATGTAAAATACTTTTGGCTTCCTAACATCCTTCATACCCATCCACAATAAATTCTCGCCGACAGACAGACTTACTTGTCTACCTAAAAGCTTGCGTACCCGAAGAAGCACCATCATCCACGCTTTTCCCACTTTCCGAAGTCTCCCAGCGCAGCCGACACATACGTTCTCACCAACAAAACCCCGTGCGCGGGCCTCTTAAACGCTAGGAATATTCTATTCACATGAACACGTTTTACGGAAATGGCAGCCAACATCTATCTCTGAATTCTGATTTCCGCAAACTAGACGGAAAAATCCGAGCCTTCGCCCGAGTCTGAGTCCTCACTGCCGTCAGAGTCAGAGTTGTCCCCGCTCAAGGCTGTGGTTTGTGGCACGCAAGAGGGGGCCCCGTGGATGTATCTCATAGGGGGCACCACAATTACCTCGATTTTTTTTGTTGCCGCACCCCCAACCTTGTTACCGGCAATTACCGGTACAGGTAACGGCGATCACTGCTTTTATCTGGACACCGCGTGGTTGAAAGCGTCTGGTTGAAAGCGTTTGCCGCCGACAGCAGCTAGCCGGCAACCAAGACAACGGAAGCGGGAGCAACATAGACTATGTAGACACGGTTGTGATTTCGGCTATAGTTTAAAGCTCATGGTTTCGGAATACTTTGATAAATTTGTCCTTTTGTGGTTATCCCTTTGCTTTTTTGAGGAAAAGCGCACCAGTACGTAGCCAAGACATGTTCGATAACCAAGTGTGTGAATGCAGAATGTAGGTCGCCGAGAGACCGATCTAGATCAGGCTGTGAGATACCCACGAACATGCGAATTTAGGGGGGTAGGTCGTACAAATCGCGGTAGGGTCTTCGTTCCAGCCGTCAGCCAGAGTCACTACCTCGTGAATTCCACCTTCAGCTGGCGAAGAACCCTTAACCTTAACCATAAGTTCTTCTGCACACCCCCTTGAGCCCCATCTCGGGTCGGCATAATTTTGTTTTGATGGGTGGTTCCTTAAGAAAACTAGTGGTGCTATTTATCACGGCGACAGCTTTTATTCAGGCTGCCCGCAACCCCCTAAGTGCAGTCTGCGGGAAGAAGCATTGTCCAAAGCACAAGTGTGGAATGGTTCCTCGGTATGACTAGGGAGCATCCTATCCGCGACTTTTGACTGAAACCTACGCTCTTGTCGCAAGCCAAGAGGGAACACATCGACCAACACAGGGCAGGTATCGAAGCCCCCTGCAGGCAAGCAGCTTTCAATGGGCCGTTGGGATTTACCAACTCGCTTCGTTGGCGTTCAAAACCGCTCTCCTTCTCGTATTCCTCGTGACCTTCCCTTGTTGTCGAAACCATGAAACCATGCAGCAGAAACAGCACACCAACGAAGACACCTCCAACAACCGCAGCCCCCCTCAGCCGGTGCCGGAGCCCCGGGCTCCAACCTTCAAGCGCTGTCCGCGGGAAGCGCAGCGAGTATGGGCGTTTGCGGATGATGCAGAAGGCCACCGTCTGAAGACCCTGTGGCAGGGTGTCAAAACCCACGAAGACCAGCCGCTCGCGTTCCGGCCGGGCTTCGTTCCCTTCGTGACGGCTCTTAGGTCCTATTTGGAGACCGCAGGAACCACTGATGACAGCGACATCGCAACGGCGGCCATGGCCAATAGCGTTGTGGGACACCAAATGACCGACAGTGCCAGCTCACCGCCGCTCGGCCATGATGCAGAAGTAGTAGAAGGGGCTCCTGCCCTCGCCGCGGACACCCGAGGTATCCCTGTCGACGCCGTCCGCGGGCTGGCGGAGGTCGTGCTATCCGCATCGGTCTGTAGCTGTGGCAAAGAGGTGGCAGCAGGGAGAAGGGATGGCTCGTCTTCCGCTGCTTGGGCCTTCGGATGTCCGACTCATGGGCTTTCCGCCATTTCGTGGGCTCGCATCCTTCCCAGCGGTACATGGCGCCGTGAAGCGGAGGCGTTTGGCAGAGAGGAGGGCGATGACTACGGGGACGGTGGCGCTCGAGTCGATGGATGTCATATCAAAGGAGGCTGTGGTAGGGGTGGCCGTGATGCAGAAGGGACATCACGGAGGCGGACTTGCCTGATTGAGACTCTCTATGCGCTCTCGGCAGCTTGTCGATGGTCCCACGTACGTGACGAGCTGGCGAGGCTTTGCGAGGGCGGGGGTATTGCAACTGGACTGGCATCGTTGTGTGATGCACTGTGTTCCCGGGTGACCGAGCTGAAGCGGCGACAGCAAGGACCATTTCGTCGCCCTCATATCGCCGGAAGCATTGAATGCGAACGGTAAGGCAGGGCTGCTCTTTTTGGCATTTTGACGTTTTTTCGACCGGCCACTGTTCTGGAATCGTCCATTATTCCTTGTGTCGTGACGGCTAACATGCCATTTGCTCGCGTCCTCTCTAATTGCGCCAATCAATCCATGTCCGACCCGTAACCGCCGTTGTTCCCCCTCCAGTGCTCAGCAAGACCTGCTATTTTTCGCGCACTGTTTAGCGCCTTTAGCTGGCCTGGTGACGAATAGTGCCCCGGCTGCAGGTGCCTGGTACGACCTAGTCAACGCCAAAACGCTTGGGGGGACCGGTTTACCTTCCCACCCCTGGGTCAGCAGCACCGATAGCAGAGGTGGCGTTGTTCCGAGCTGCTGTCCTGTATTTAGGGCAGCCGATGCTACCAACGGTGCACCGGGCATGGGAAAGGCGAGGAGGAGAAATGGCGAAAACTGGGGGGAGGAGTCGTCCCCAGCTGCAGGCGATGGTCACAGCGACAAGGAGGAGGAGGAGGATCTCTTTCTCGCCATGTTCTCGGCTGCAAATACCGACGAGTGGTCTGCGATGCTTGTTGGTTGCGGCCTTGTGCGTTCCCTCGTAAACTCATTACAAGCATGCCTGGATGTCCGTATCACCGCGCGAGGCTTAGACTTGACGAGGGCTTCGCCGGCGATGAGGCGGTCTGGATCTGCGACAATCGGCGGCGATAGAGGTAGCAGCTGCAGCGCGGGGCTGGACGCTACGCCCGGCGCGGTGCAGGGTGCGGACTTGGCAAAGGAGGAAGAAGATGGTGATGGGATGCCCAGCGTTGACTGGTGTCTTGGGTGCGAGCTTGAGACGGCGCAAGTCGTGGTAATGATGGCCTTAGGCGCCCTCCTCTCGGCCCATCCTCTTGCCGCACGTGATCGTTTCCAGCGCGCTGGTGGTGCACTTCGCGTTCATCGAATCATTTCTCACCAGCCGGAAAATTCAGGCAACGACGAGGTGCACGTCTGCGTGTCTTCCGGTCCCGAAGTTGATGGTGATGCTGCTGCAGCCCCTGTTTCGGCCTGCCCGTTTTTACAGGAGCACTGTGTCTTGGTGGCTCTGCAGATGTCGCGGCTGAGCGTCCGCGCTGAAGGTATGGCAGGGTGTGTGCCGCTCGACGTCCTGCAGGGAGCGGCGCGGGTGGTGGGAGCCCTATCACCGGCCATGCGATCGACCTGGCGTAAGTGCCAGGGTCCAACTGTCACTTGGGGGGATCTTCGGGATCAGCCACCCCGCCCGAACCCAACAGATAAGGACGAGAGGCTTCAGGACAGTGGCCTAGAAGATCCTGGGAACAACAACAACCAGCGAGGCGTCTTATCCCACGGGTTGCTGCCTCTAGGTCTTCCCGGAGAAGTTGTTGTGCCGGTAATCCGTGAGATCTTTGGCAGCACTACCGAGGGCGGCACGTTTGCAGGAGTAGAATCGTCCTCGAGGAGCTGCAGTTCTACCGCTGAGGTTCGCCCTTTGTTCGACAGCTCCTCATATCGGCTGTGTGGGTGAGTCTCCCTTTTGTGGTCGCTGGTGAGCTGTCTTCATTTTGTGAGGCTTTTGGTGCGTATTCACGTCTGGCCATCATGTTCAGCATTGGACAGGCGCAAATCCATACAGAAGTTGCGAAACTGAATTTCGTTTCTTGACAGTCGCTGGTGTGATACTGGACGCCTCGTCCCTCCTGCATCATACTCTTACCCCCTTTATCTTAATTGCGTCACACGCTCTCGTTGTTCAGACCACGTCCGGGCCATCCTCTTTCTTCATCCCGATCAGCCTTCGCCGGCACTGGTTGGGTAGCGGATCGGCTGCAGGTGCTGGCACGCAATCGGGGGCCTGACGCGGACAAGTTGGTAGACTCTGTTCATTCTCGGCTGGCGACCTCTTTGGACACTGCTGACATTTTCATCATCGCTCAGGATGCGTGCCGGATGTCCATCGCCCCGACTCTGGAAGGTAACACGGGTTCGGTGTTGGCCGATGGTGGAGTGTCGACAGCGCTGTCGCAGTGCCCGCCGCTATTACTCTTGGGCTTCTACGACGGCATGCTTGACATCGTCGGTGATTGTGACGTTGCTTCCCAACAACGTCGTCGATCGGCGGAAACATCTGGAACTGGTGCAGCGGGAATCCCCGCAGGTGTCTGTCCTCAGATAGGTGCCGAAGGTGCAGTGTTACGGTCGGCGCTGGAGTGCGTGTTGGAAATCTTTGTCGAGCCGGCGGTCGTGGAAGGTGCTCCAAAGAACGGAGAAACTTCTGCTCGTGGTGGTGGGCGCGATAAATTTCCAGTACGACCTGCGAGCAATATCACCGGCAGGCAAGAAAAATCGACCGGGGCGCCGGTTTCCAGCGAGGGAAATGTGGCTGCTGCAGCGATCCGGCAGCTACTCGCGTTGGATTTTTTGCATCAAGCTGTTCGACGTTGGCCACGCCTTGCTGTGAAGCTGTCGGAGGAACTCGGCCTTTGGGACGTTATTTTTTCAGAGCGCTTTCTGTCAGGTTGTGCATGCCACATCACCTGCGCTATCGAGCTTCTGGGTGACGTTCCCGCCGATGCCGCCACCACTGGTTCACACGCTCCTGACCGCAGCATGCTTCGTGAGTACGCGGTCGCGTGGGGGCTTGTGCACGATGGGGCCTTGCTCCTTCTGGAGGCTGTTGCGATCGTGCGGTGCCTTTTGCAGTTAGGGCCGGAAGAATGGAAACGCGAGCACGAGGGTGAGGTCGGGAGTTGTGCCGTTGGGGATCAAAGTTCAGGACAACAGAGATCGTCTGAGATCGAGAAGTATGTGACCTTCTTAGCTAGAGAAAGGAGCAACCGATCTTGCGACAAAGCGGCCATGCAAGGGTGCAAGTGGCTGAGGGGTTTGATTGCGATGGAGCCTGCCCTGGGCACCAGCCTGGTCGTACCCCCGTCGCTACGCGTGGCTTCTCTTTGCCTTGCGTTCAAGCTGTGCGACCGTGGGAATGGTCATGGGTCTGACGATGCGTGGGTCTCAGATGGGGCGGGTTGGCCTCTGGTGCATGCGTCCCTGTCCCTGACAGCAGACATGGTGGCCACCAATGAAGGTTTGCTTTTCCAGGCTGCGGTGGCGTATGCTGTAGATGCGGACGCGGCGACGGGAATGTTAACGGCGTTGCCGGGGAAACCCCGACCACATCGCGCGACGGCTTCAATGACCTCGGATGCATCGAGTTCAGGTCTGCATGCCGCAAGTGCATGGTATACCTCCGCCGGCGGCGAGTCGCACACGCCCGCCAGCATCAACAGCTTGAGTCCCCGCACAGGTCCAAGCTTTTCGTTCTGTGATACCCATGTGGGGCAGCCGCAGCCGAGGCCGCCACGACCACTGCCAGAAGTGCTGTTCAAGGCCGCGTTGGAACCTCGGGCTCGCCGTGCAGTATTTTATTGCGCGGCCGCACTGGGAGTTGAGGCCAGCAGGGAAGCATTGGCGTCGGTAGATGTCCAACAGCGAGAGACGGCGGTGGCTGTACTCAGTGGACTTGTTGAAGGGTATATTTGTCTGTGCGAGCGGGCAGCGGTGGCGACTGTGGCGGGTTCAGCTGCTACGGATGATGGGCCGAGGCTCTTACTCGATGCGTTACACGGTGCGTGTGCGCTTATGCGTTCGGAGGCACCGCGGAACATGGGTGAGGCGAGTACCAGCGATAGAGGCGGCATTCAGGGCACGTCTGGAGGAGCCGAGAATGGCCCGTCCTCACGCCCGACGAGACAAGGGGATACGGGCGTGTTGCCTTTGTTGCAGGAGACGTTTCGAGAGCATTGGGCGTCGGCCCGCCTGTTGGTCGTGTTGGAGAGTGTTGCGGGTGACCTAGCCGCATCCAGGTCGACACCCAATTCATCATCCGTGCCGAAGGAGGGATGCTCAGAGATCGTGACAGCTTGTCTGTCTCTTTTCACCGCAATGATGGCAAGGAACTCCCTCGGAAAGAAGGCAATTAGACGCGCGCTTTCGGAACACTATTTCGGAAGGAAGGATTTGCCTGGGGCAGTGCCATCGTCAATGCCCGGCGGTGCCGCTGGTTGGGGCATCGGGGGTTCATCGTTTGTCGCCCTGGCGCACCTCGCTGGCGTAGTGTCCGCTGCATCGATGTGCGAGTCCTTAGTGGAGATGTTGATGGACGGTGAAGTTCCAGAGTGCGTCCTCGAGATTTCCCAGACAGAGAACGAGATTGGACGTGACCAGCTGGGTGGAGCCACTAGAAGCGAAGAAGGCCACAATTGTGGCCCAGAAGGGAGGGAGGAGGATTCGGGCGCTTCGTCACCTCCCGAAATTCGAAACCCTTTTGTGGTGCCACTAATATTTCAGCTGCTTCCCGACTGGCCTGCTTCAGAGCAAGAAAACATCCTGAAAGTGTTTCAGTTGCTGCTAAAGGGTGCGGGTGGGGGTACAGTTAACCGGTCCCTGTGCTGCGATGTTCAACCGGCTCTCATGGATCAGGTATGGCAGGACATTCAGTGATGATATATATTTCGAAAGTTGCAGTCAGTCACCTAGCACAGCTCACTTCATTCGGTTTGATTGTGTTTGGTGTTGTGATCGGGGCTGCCGGATGGGATGTGAATAGATTCCTCTGTAGATGTTTTGAGTTTCGTCGTGTAGTTGCAACACCGACGGGTGCGAATGGGGGTCATACGCACGGCTGATTTGCTCTATCTGTGGAAGCTATGTGTGTTGGCCCGGCAACTGCCTCCATCGAACCCGATCGCGTCTAACCCATCGTTTTCCTAAGTACATTCCAACGCCCTCGCCTCCCCCCTCCACCGTCAGCTCCTGCATATTCTTCCACGACTCAACGGCAGCGGTAGCAAGTGCGAAGACAGCCTACAAGAGCTCGCAATCGACCTCGTCCGGCTGTTAGGCTCTCATTCGATCAACGTGGCGCAGCTGAAGAAGATATTTCGGCTGCTACAACCTCTGTCCGCCGTCAGCACGAAACGCGTGGGAACGTCATCTACGTCGATTACCAGTCTCCCTTTGCAGCCACCCTGGATGTGCAGTCTCCTTCGCGCCCTCCGCGGCATGATGGATGACGAACCTGGGCCGCAACGCTTTTTCCTTCTTGACGGTCTCAACTCCGGCTTGCGTCTGCCGCGGATGCCCCATTGGCCGGCCCAGAAGGGCTACACTTTTTGCGCATGGGTGTGCCTGGAGGTGGGGCCTGAATCTTCTGGCGAAAGAGATGACGGAGCTGGCAGCGGCAATGGAACCATCCCGGTGGCCGAGGCTCCCTGCCTCTTCAGCTTTTGTGGTGAACAGCGGGGTCAGGGAGTTGCGGCATGCTTCATCCCCCTGCGTAAAAAGCGTGGAAGCGTGCAACGCGGCGCCGCCGCACCGACCACGACGTCGACCGCAGAGACCCCACAACAGTATGCGCTGGAGCTCAGAGTAGGGGCAGGACGGAAGAAGCACCCGGCAATTGTCCGCTTTCCAGGCATTGTGGTCACCGCCGGTGAGTGGGTGTTCGTGGCCGTCGCCCATGCGGCAAGTAGATGGGGGCAGCGTGGCGAGGCGTCGGTCCTTGTAGATAGCTCGTGGCGCACCTCTGCCTCGCCCTTTCCTCGCTTTGGGGACGGCGGAGTGGCGACAGCATCCATAGCCTGCCACTGCCCGCGTCGAGCCAAAGCTGCAGGGGGGAATTCTACAGATACAGGAGAGGGCGCGGGTGCCAAGGTCGCCGGCCGGCCGGCATTGTGCAGTCTCAAGGGGCAGGTGAGATATTCCAAATGAACCACCGTATTTTTCCAGGGTGATCTTAATGCAGTGCGCGAGAAACCCTAAGAGCGTAGTCTTCGGGGAGATTTGGCGATGTGGTTGAACTGTATTGCCTCAGTTCGGCCCTTGCAACGCCATAAACAGAGGGTGATGAGTGTCGTGCCCCGTTGTGTATACATGTGTAGGCTACCACTTTGTCAAAGGGTAGGTGCTAGTTGACCTAAACATCGCCTTGATGTGTGGTGCACCCTTCTTTCAGATGGGGCCGATCTACCTCTTCGAGGGCAGCGTGTCCGAGTCATTGCTACGCGGCATCCGTCAGCTCGGTCCCGGCTACGCTTTCAGCTTTGAGCCCCCTCAGGTGGACTTGCGTGAAGTAGCTTTGCTTCCGACAAGCGATCCTTCCCTGCAACCGCTGTCGGAGATGGGGATGGAGAGCCCAGAGTTGAACACGAATGGTGGTCTAAAGGATTGGAACGACGACGGTGAGAGTAGGTCACGTCGTGCCCAAGCAGCGGCTACAGCAGCTGCAGCGGCAGCGCGTCAACACCTGCATATAGAGGCTCTCAGTGGCTCCCTGACCTCGCGCATCCTTCTGGCGTATAATCCCAGCGTTTGGGGCGGCGAGTATTTTCTCGATAACACTCCGGAGCATAACCCTGTGAGGTGGACCAATAGCGGCTCCCAGGCCTCGTCCAGTTGGGGCGGACAGACAGAGCGCCGCCAGATGATCTATTCCATGGCTGGCAGTCAGGCACACGTTCTCGTTCAGCCTCCTGCCGTAAGCCAGCCCCGTGCGGGCGATGACGGCGGCGACCTTCGCGCCCGTCGCGCACGGCGTGGTCCTGCTGGAGGGCCCTCGAATGACCGGCCGGACGCCCCGGCTGGGCGAAGCCGTGGGTGGTCTGGGTGCTCCGGGGGCTCTGGTGTGGACATCATTGACCACGAAGGCGAAAGAGCAGTATTCGTGCGCCCTCGTCGACGGCCGGGTCACATGCACGCGATGAGACTTCCGGGCACTCGGGAGTGTGTTACGCGAGACGTGCGGGACGCTTTGGATTGTCTCGGCGGAGTGAAGGTGCTCTTGCCACTGTTCGCGCAGTACGACCACGGGGTTCATCGTGGTGGAGCTGCCCGTGTAAGCTACCGGACCGACCCACGGTTGAACGAAAACGTGCTGGCTCTGCTTGTTGGAACGTTGCGAGACAGGTGTGTAGGTGTGAATGTTTTTTTTACTTTTCTACACGGATGTGCATTTTCGTTAGTTTTTTGGTCGGTACTCCGATCTGGGGCTCTTAAGAATATTGTGGGACCCTTGATGCCACGGCTTCACGTAGTAATCAAGTACGATATGGACGATAAGAAATAGAGCGTCGGTCTATCGATAGGCCGTTACAGAGACGAGTTGAGCTTTCTTGGGCGGCGCGCCTTGTACAATGTTCACAAAAGTTCGTGCCACTCAACCATCCCGCAGAAGCTCTTGGGATGTTACGTTTTCATCGCAGGGCCGCATTTACCTACATCGACCGCGTTGCTTGTGTCCTGTTGTTTGTCCTCCGCCCGCTCGGTCCGTGTAGCGTGCCCAACCAACGCTTTCTGCGTCGATACGGTGGGCTTTCACTCATCCCGTTCTGCCTTGAACGGGTGAGTCCGCAACACATGAACGCGGGGGCTCTTGCGCAAGCGTGTCGGTTGGCAGACCGCCTTGGTGCTTGGAGTGAGGATTGGGCGGACTCTACGATCGAATCGCTCCTTTCGCCATCCCGCCTTTGGGTCTTCGCTCCAACTGAGGTTCAAATGACTCTGGTCGGGGTTCTTCGGGGGCTCGCCCGACGGTGCCCCGATCGAATGCGTCGCGTGGTCGGGGTGCAGCAGTGTCTGGACGCACTTGATCTGTACTACTGGTACACTCCACCCGCGAACGAAGGCGATGACGTCGATCAATCAAGCGAAACGAGCCCAGTGGAGGACCCGGCGGCGAATTCATCAACGGGCGGAAACCGCCGCAACCGCGGTAGTGTCAATGATGAAGGCGACAGTGGCGGTGCGGGTAGCAAAGACTGGTCTTATGTGTCTCGGCAGTGGGTGCACCCGTCAACAGGAGAGGTTCTCGGGGTCAAGGCTTCAGGCGCGGTGCTCGGGGATATACGAGCGCGTTTGCTCGACACAGTTGTTCTCATGGCATGCGACGGAGATGGTGTTTGCAGGGCAGACGTGGCAGCGATGCTTGGCTTTCTGCGGAGCTGTCGGGACGATTTGAGCCGCTGCGAAGCGCTGCGACTTATTCTCCGTTTCACAGATGACCCTCACCAGGCCGGCCGATTTGTGGTAGCCTCCGGCTACGTTGCGACTGAGGAGTTCGGTGGCGAAGGTGATGATGGTGGTCCCAGTCCCGGCCGCGGGCCTGGTCGGGGTGGCACCGCTGTTTCGCTATTTTTGTCTCTGGTCCAGGCATCTGATCCAACTGTTCGACTTTTGGCGTTCCTGGCATTAGGGCAGGTGAGACTTCATCAACCCATGGGCAAGAAGTTGTCGTCGGCACTTGTATTCTTGTTTGTGTTTTTGTTGCCTCTCACTCTCGGTAGGCTTTTCATGATAACTGCCGCAGGATGCACTGCGGCTCTCTCTCTCCCTCTCTCTCTCTCTCTCAGGGACGATAACGAACTCCCACGTGAATAGCGATGGACTTGAGTGTCGAATGTGATTTCACTTCCATTTATGATGCTGCTGATGCCGTGCCTGATGTCACCCCTTGGTGCTGTGCCTCGTCCAGACGCTGATCGCGTGCCTTCGAATAGATTCTGGAAGCAGTGCTGTCGACAACTTGCCAGACACAGATGAGCCCGCAAATCAGCAGTTCTCAGCCCACTGCCACAACAGCCGCCAGGATAGCCCAGCTACCACCGCCCAAAACGCATTCGCGGCCTCCGCTGCGGCTTCAACGTCGTCGCCACCGCCGCCAAGCACTTCAATAATGGTCGAGTTTGCTGGTGGTGCTGATGCAAAGGCGGAAGAGCTGGTCGTTCTCACGGGAGCTCCGTCTGTTCGGGAAAGCGCCGGCAGAGGGAACGCAGACGAGGCGAACAGTCACAGAGGCCAAAACAGCGGCAGTGGTGGCGCAGACGTGTTGGAACTTCGCGGAGGGGTCTGGGAACATATTGGGTTGTCCAGACATAAAATCAACGACGTGCTACAGTGGGCCCAGCGGCAGGTTACCGGTGCCGAACAAGTATCTGCTGCTATCGCACAAGGAAGGAGTTGGGAGAAGCCCGACGGTCGGCAGCCGAGAACGGTGGGGTCCTCGGAAGAGAGCAAACGGCGGCCGGAGGAAGAAGCGGCGGCAGAAAGTGCGGTGGCGAGGGTCACCATGGAAGTACTGCAAGGGCTACTGATTGGTCAACTACCTCGAGGCTTCGCGGCAAGCGTTGTAGACTCGCGGGAGCATCCTGGAGACTCCAAGGCCCCAACTGTTTCCCCAGCAACCGACCAACCGCTAGACCCGTTTTTTCTGGAACCCCCGCCAAGTTTCTCCACGCAGAAGTCGAGGTCAGGGGATAGACCAAGTGCTCCGTTACATCAGCGTTCCCGTTCTCGATCGTGGCGAACCGGACCAGGAAGGGCATTGGGGTCGTCAACTTCTGTTCCCCCTCCCCTCTGCATCCATCTCCCTGAGGCCTTTCCGGCACTCTGCCAACAAGTGGCGATGGCGCCGCTGGGGGCTGCGCTGCGTGGAGAAGCTATCGAGACGCTCGTTGCGGCCGTTCAGAGTCAGCGCAACGCGGAGATCATCCTGTGTGTGGATTCTTGGCAGCAGTACCTTCTGAGCGTAGTTTCGTCGGCGCAGGGCCGGCAAGCAGTTGCCACCGCCGCCGCTAGTGCCTCTGGCAGTGAGAATTATCCAGCAAGCCAAAGGACTTCCACGGCCGACCGTACAGCTGGGGATGGAGATTCGGGCCGGCACTATCGGAGAATCGCCAGTGACGAGGCAGCGAGAGAGGACCAGTTGGTCGATCGGACAGTGAGGCTCATCTGTTGGCTGGCCATGTGCAAGGCTAGAAGCGGGAAGCCTGGAAGACCCGGCGCAGGGTTCACAGAACTTCAGGATACCATGTCGTTCCTGCGTTGCCAGGGAGAGCTCGGGACTATGGCATGCGTGTCTGTGGGGGAAAGTATGTTGCGCTACATGGTGAGAACCGTAGTTGTGTGTTTGTATATTGGCGAACAACTACTGGTACGTGCTAGTGAACCGGTAGGCTTGTATGCGTGTACAAGGCTCCCCTTCGGTAGTGAGGTGACTTGCCTCCCGGGGGCGACGTAAGAGGACATGGTCAATGTCATCGCGGTCGCATCGTTGCATCTCAAGCGTCAGGACGTTCGTAGTGCGTGCCGGTTTTGTAAACAACATGCAGAATTTCCTGGAATTTTACATCATGTGTGGGGTATTTTTTTCTCGTGTGCGTGAGTCTAGTGACGTCTTTGTTGCAAGTCCTACTGCTGCAATCCGCTGCGTTTGATCACTCGCTCTGATGTATTCGTGTTGCCCATGGTCTGTGGGACTTGGGTGCGTTGCCCTCCAAAGAGGAAAACACCCCGCTAGATAGTGTTCCTGTTCAGTTTTCATGGATATCTGAAGGCTTTTTTGGTTCGGATTTGCCGCCATAGAGCCAGTCCCAGCGAATTTTCAGCGGCCATCACACGCATCACCGATGTTTCGTAAGCCCCACACGTAACGGAAATGTACCGACGGGTCCCCTGAGTACCATGCAGAAGAAAGTGTGAGAAAAACGCTGTCCCACAAGAGAAAAAAGAAATAACCGCCAAATAAGTCGAATTTGTACATAGGCATATTTGGTTGGTTTTCTCCATTAGACCAGTGGCGAGTCTCCATAGGCTCGAACCCTCAAATGTACCTGGTACTCAATACGGGCTAGCCCCGTTGTTTCTCTCTCACTTTTGGTTTGTACCTCAAAATATGACTTTCCTTATGCCTTGCAGGTGAGCCTGCTGAAACGCGAAGTCGAATACCTTGAGAGCGAAGTCAACGGCTGGGCGCGCGGCTCTCATTTGCCCTCTTATCGACCAATGCTCGGGTCGGGTGGTGGCCATCATGGCGCCGCTGCGGTGCTCGCATGTGTGTGGCCGTTGGCTGCTCTGGTTGTGGAGTTCGTCACCATCCCGCCTGTGGCAAACCCGCCTGCCGTTGCCGCGGCAAACGCGCCAACGCCTTCTGCGGCGGCGCTGGCGGTTGTGACCGCAGCAATTAGCGACGATGAAGGGTCTTCTCGATGGAGCGGGGAGTCCCTCACCTGCCAGTCCCCGATACAGGGAATCTTACAGTGGCTCGACACAGGTATGTCACTGCCATCCTGGCCATCGCCGGTAACTCCAGATGCGCGCGCTAAGGTCCCGCGAACGGACATTTTCTCGCGGGAAGTCCCCGCCACCCCCGCCGCTGGCTGGCGGGCGTGGGAGCTTCTGGATGCCACGGTGGACCTCATTGGACCTACGGGAGATACGTTGTTGTGGGATGCAAGGTACCGCCAAGGTTTGTGCGACGAGACAGGGGCAACCAGTGGTATCGGTAAGGGGGTTCACACGGCGAGGACTGTAGACCCTGGCGCCGAAGACGTGCTGGACTGGGGTCGTCGAGAATGCAGAGGTTTGGGATTTTCGGCCCACGCTCGTCGCTCTGCTGAGGATCGCGGAACCCCTGGTGCTCATAGGAGAGTGAGCGGCGGCGGCGGCGGCAGCAGTGGAACTGGCTTTCTCGGGGTTTATCGTACGACGCGGTTCATAGACAGCAAGGGGAAGACAGCAAACCCACTCGCCGACGCAGGTGATGTCCCATGGATGCTCGTGCGGATTCTGCTGGCGGTATTTGTCGGCGGAGGCGCCGCTGGAGGGCACACAGAAGATGACACCACGAAGGAGAACCCCAGCCGGCGGAAAAGTGGCAGCATTGGCGGCAGCAGCGGGAAGTTTGGTGGCGGTAGGGGCAAGGGAGGCGGCGGTGCCGGCAACGGCCCCCCGAGCACCGCTCTCGTGGCCCTTCAACGCTTGATTGCTCTGTTGAACAGCCTAGAGTCGTCGGGCTACGAGCACTTCGAGTTCGAGGTGTTGAACGTGGCGGCTAGAGTGTCAACGGCGCTGCGCACGACATGCTTGACTCCGAAATCGGCTTGGGTCTTGGGTGCCCTACAGCTTTTGGTGAGGTGTTTCACGTTCGCGAACAACATCGTTTTGTCGATTCGTTCTCGATTCGTTGACATATCCCCTGCCATATGCATGGCGTTAGACCCACAACGACCCGCTGTTTTTGGTTTCCGTGCCGTGCCCTCCCTTTGAGCGGTAGCCTTGCTATGCTTACCTCTCTTTGTTGTTTTATTGTAATCGTTTTGCTTCGCCTGCCTGCTTCTAAATTGAACGTTTGTCCAGGCCAAGTGCCTGGCCACCCAGGGTGCTCAGATCGAAAACTTGCTTGTGGCCGCCGAAGAACGACTTATCGCTCGAGACGATTCCGAACGAAAACCAAGGGCCCCATCTGCGCCGAGACAAACATCAGGCAATACCCCTGCACTGCAGCCAGTGCTGACGCCGCGCGCCCGTCTCTCATTCAGTCGTCGATCGAAGCCGAAGTTCTGGCTGTGGGACCTCCTGACGGGAGGAGGTGGCAACGGCAGTCGACGACGGCGCATCACGCCCGAGGGTGTGTTGCATCAGATAGCGGCGGAAACGCCGTCTCTAGCTGCTGTCCCTTCGGCCGACCTTGCGCTTGAAATTATTCGTCGAACGTTGGGCATCGAGCTCCCGGGCAGGAGCCAACAGGGGCCGGAGCGTACAAGAAAACGCGGAGGTGGTGTATCGAACACTGCCACTGCGGCACCGCTCACGTGGGACTTGCTGGAAGCTGCGTTTGAGCCCATTTCGGAAGACGGAGGGGGCCACGAAGCGACGGGGCTCGCGCGTCGGTTTGACCGAGGGGGGATGCACAAGCTCGCTCTGCAGACGCTTGTGCGTGTCCGTGCGCTGGAGGGTCGTGGAGGTGAAGCCGGGATCCGAGTGCCCGCTGACGTGCTGAAGTTGATGACGGCTGTGAAGGGCATGGAGACCAGCAGGGCGTTGGCGCTTGCAGAGGCAAAGGAGAGGTACGCTAAGTTTGCTCTGGTGTGTACCTCCAAATAGTTGCGGTGGTTACATGCAGCTGGGTAGGGTTGCAGCTGGTAGGGTATTGTGGTGTGTGGTGGTACCGTAATATTTTTGGGAGGATGTTTTGGCGTGTGGACTTTTGCTCTCAGAGCCGTTTTGGTCCGAGTCGAAATGGATATGTATGTGTGTTGTTGGTGCAGTTGCGGCGGGCACATACGGAAGATGGCGAAAATCAACCCCATCGCTTGATAGAAGCATCCTAATGGTTTTGCAGTAATCCACGTACAACCGATATCTGTTGAGCGGCGGATGAACTAAGCACACCTTTACCCTTGCATCGTGTCCCACGGTTGCCGCCCTGAACGGCACAAAAAGAGCCACAACCCGCCGGCAGGCGCAGTGGGAGGTCGTGCTCAAACAGCTTGCGACCGAAAGAGGGCCGTGGGGTCGTGGCGTGAAGGCCCTTGGTCTCGATTCTGTATACTGGACTCTTAGCACTCGTGAGGATGACCACGGACGCCGACTCAAGCTCATTCGGAATCCCTCCGGTAGCCTGCACACCATCGCTAGCGAGCGTACGCGGGGGGCGACAAGAACCTCGCCGTTGTCCTCCCGGTCGTCGTTGCGGGCAGCTGGTGGGCGGAGGACGTCGCTGAAGACACTTTTCAGCACCATGAGCGGAAGCGATGCGTTTGGGGATGCTGCGGTGGCCGATGGTACCGCTCTCCAAGGACATGCAGGCGAGTATGCCCATGCCGGGGTTGATGAGGGGCACGAGGTGCTTGAGGATAGACTCGGCAGCCGCAAGCGATCGGACGTCCGGGAGATGTCGGCGCAGACCAGCCTTTGGCGAGATCTGTGCAAGTACCAGCAGAAAAGTTTACGGGTGAGGAGGAGCGGCGAGGGGTTGGGGGAACAAGCGGAGGAGACGGAGGAGGAAGACGAGGAGGAAGAAGACGAGGAACAGGAATACGAGTCAGAGTATGGTGAAGATGACCCAGGCAGCAGCAGCGATGCTGAGGGGAGCAGCGATGTCGATGTTACCAGGGACGGATCGCATCGGAACCGACGCGACACATCCGCGACTTTCTCCAGCGCGGGGGACGTTGTGCGCGCGTCGTGCGTGACCCCTGGCACTATTCTCGTAGAGGGCCACCGTTTGGTATTTACACGGTTGCCAGATGCAAATGCTACCAGCATGGAAGGAGACAACACCGGTGGCGGGGGTAACAGACAAGGGGGCGAGGTTCACGACAACTACCGATGGGCCCTGCGACCTGCGCCGACCTCCTCATGGTCCACCTCAGGGCTACGCCGTATGTTGTTCCGCCCGTACGGTGGAATGCGCTTTGCGGCGCTGGAGATGTGGTTCAGGGGCCACGGGACCAGCGACGAGGGTGGAGCGGAAGGCTCACTTTTGCTCGGTCTTCCCAGTGATTCCCTAGCAAACAGCCTGTTCCGGGCCCTCCGGCGTACGAGACCACCTTCGCTCGAGCCGTTCCTCGGCCGTCTCCCAGCAACGGTGGTCGCGCGGTCGAAGGCAAATACATGGGGTGCTTCCGCGGCGGGAGGGAGTGGGATGTTCGTGGGCGCCTACGGTGATGGGCGTAGCGGCACCAGTGGCGTCGGTGGTGGGGGTGGCAGCGGGACGAAAGCTGTGTCGGCCGCGGCCGAGATGGCACGCACACCCCTTACGCAGGCGTGGGCACGTCGACGGTGTGGCGTTACGAATTTCGATTACCTGCGAGGGCTTAACGCTGCAGCTGGGCGAACGACTTCAGATCTGTCCAGATACCCGGTGTTTCCGTGGGTGCTATCGGAGAGAGCGTGGGCAGCGGAGGAGCTGGATCTGAAAGATGAGCGCAATTTCCGGGATCTGGCATGGCCAATGGGGGCCCAGCGGCCAGAGCAGCGAGAGGTAAGAGCTTAGGCGGCGCACAAATTGCTGTTTTACCCTCAGTAGGTTCGAAATTGCCGTTCCTCGGTTCACCGGTTTTGGCCTCAAACCATTAACTTTTTTTTTTTTTTTTACTTTTGAAATTGGCAGCTGGTAATCAGGACCTGATCGAGGTTGTACAGAGGTTGGTAGTACTCCGTATGCTATAACGAGCAAGTGGCAACACCATACGGCCTTTGAGGCGCCTTGCTGCAGCAGTCCGCAGAGGCCAGTCACTCCGCCTGTCCCATGAGTTTTCCACCTCGTCATCCCCCGCCCTCCTTTTTCTAGATGCTCCACATGCGTTTCACCGAGCTCGAGCGGAGCTACCTGGAGGAGCAGAGTATGGGTGGCGAGCGTGCTGAAATGGCCCTCCCGCCGTTCCACCACGGGACCCACTACTCAACCAGCGCTTACGTGATGTGGTTTCTCATGCGCCTTGAGCCATTTACATCGCTGCATATCCACCTTCAGGCAAGGGGTACATACCTTGGTGTTTTTCTCTCTTGAGCCGTGTTTCGGTTTTGACAGTCGATTAGGCTGTCGGAGAGCGCGTCGCAGCATTAACCCCACGCGCTGGTTTTGTTGGTGGCGCTCTCTGCAGTATTGGCGTTCCATGACGCCAACGGCTACGGAGTGCATGTAAATATGGTAGTCAACAGCCGGTGTACTGCCCGCCAGTGCTCATATTAAGTTGTGTTGTGTGGCGTACGACGTGACGTAAAGTTGTAGTTTCGACCATGACGAGGTGCAGTGACCGCCGCGATATGTTCGAGCCGCTATGTAACCCACCACCGAGCATCCTCGGGAGTCTCGCCACAAAATGTTTATGGCCCCTCCCCCCGGAAATCTTTCCTCCGCACTCGGTGTTTGCCATCGGGATTGGGTTTTCGTCGCTTGGCAACGACGTTGTAAAACAAGCCAATTTACTTCGTGAACTCGGCAACCAGGTTACCGTTTTTTTTTTGTACATCGGTTTTTTTTTTGGCGGTAACCATAATGGTGGTCGAGTAGATCATGTTGTGCGGGGTCGAGAAACCTCACTCCGCGCAACGGGGGATGATCGCACCACGTTGTGTTAAAATGGTCAAGCTTCCTCGAGGCAGTTACACAGTCGCTTACAACTGTCTCTGGAAGTGAAAGCACCAGAAAATAAATTAAGTCATACGTAGCTGTCATCCGTACGCAAGGAAGTAAGCACAAGATGCCGAACACCCTTAGCAGGATGCAGCTCACCCTTCATGCGAATCGCCAAATACCTCACGGCGCTTCGCGCTTGGTGATGTGAGAGCCTGGTCCGGTGAGAACCCGGCGTGCTCCGTCCCGGCTTTGTAGGGATGCGAGGTCAATGGTCAAACGACTACGGCATGCACGACTATGAGTACACCCCCCCCCCCCCCCCCCCGGAAAACTTTTCTCCTCTACCAAAACTGAAAACCCCCAATTATTAAAACCCCAGGCCT